GGGAGGGTGTGAAAGAACTTTTTTATCTGCGAGTGAAGGAAGGCTGAGATGATGGGGATAAAATCACAGCAGACGAAACTTAGTGAGGGGAGAGAGAGACAAAAGGAAAAGAAGAAATAAAAGTCAGGCTTCAAGGGCACAGGCTGCTGGCATGCTGTCCCAAAGAAGCGCTCTCCTATCCCGCTTCCCCCCCTCCCACCTGAAAAACAGCCTCCCCCATTAACCTCCCTTGAAAAACCCTCTTCCTCGGCACTGGGCCAGGAAGAGAGGGAGTAACATAACCGGAAAGCTAACGAGGACTGGGCAGCTTCAGCTGAGTGAGAAAAGCCATGATCAGCGGCTTGTTCCTCCTCGGCCTCGGCCCCTTCCCAGAACTGGTGAGGCAGTCTGTCGCTGAAGCGGACAGCCCAGCCCTGCTGCGGATGTGCACTCCTCCCAGGGAAGCTGCACAGGCCATGCTGAGGGCAGCACCTTGAGCCACCGGGGGGGGGGGGAACCTTTGTGACCGGCTGGGGCACTCTCCCACCCTCCCAAAAGGCTTCCGGGGCACCAGAGTCTCACTACAGTTTTTATATTAAAGAGCCATGTCGGTAGGAAGAGGGCCACCCCATATAGCCAGGCAGGCCGTGGGCGCCCTGAGCGCCCGCTGCCCCTCCGAGATCAAGCCACCCCAGCTAGCCAGGCAGGCTGCGGGCACCCTGAGCACCTGCAGCCCCCCCCTGAGATCAAGCCACCACTGCCCACCCCCTGGAGATCAAGCCACTGCCACCACCACCCCCATTCCCACCAACTTACCTTGCATACTGGCTGGTGCTGGTGGCGGCCACAGCAACAAGCAAGGGCAGCACATGCTGCTTCCCGCTCAGAGTCCTGTCCCGATTGGGGCAGGGAGCTGGGGCCAGGGCTTGCTGGGTGCATGGGGCATTCTTGGCATGGAGAGGTCGGGAGCACAGCGCACTTCTCGCTGCCTTCCGGTGATGTTGTCAGTGGGTGGGAGAAGAAGAGGCTGAACTCCAGTGCTTTGGGTTCAGTGCTCACCTGTCTTTTGGCGGGCTTTTAGCAGGGGCGGGGCCATGTGCAGTTTGGTGCCCTAGGGTCACTGCCAGCGAGTCAGACGCAGCGGTGGTGGCAGCGGTCACCCGGTCAGGCCAGGGAGATGCAAGACTTTTGACAGGGGCTGGGGGCCTTTGGCAGGGGGGGGCGGGTCCAGTTTGGTGCCCAAAGGGCCGGCCCGCACTGTAGGTGAATGCCTAGTTCACCTAGTAAGTGAGCCAGCCCTGACTACAGAGATCACTTCCCCTGGAGAAAATGGTGGACTTTATGGCATCGAACCCCACTGAGGTCATTGTTTTCCCCATGTTCCATCTCCAAATCATGAGTTTCCCAACTGGACAACCCTACCCCCCCTCCTCCCACCAGTGGCCAGGGAAGCCCTGGCAACCCTAGACATTTGGGAAAATGTAGAACAGAACTGTGCCATGTATGCTCATTCCCAATATACCTGTATTTCAAGAGAAATTTATTACATTTTTACATATTATTTAATCAATGCATAGGCATCTGAACCCAAATTTCTCCAGGCCTGCTCTGCCACTTTAGCCACTACATCATTCATTTTCAAAACTAACTTTTAGAAATTAATGAAGCCTTGTGAGAACTTTCAACTCAATATCCTGATTGTAGAAACGTGTTAATGGTGCACTGTTCTGAAGCTGGCAATGCAAACATTTGAGTTGTTAGTAAGTCTAATCTTGAATGAGTTTTAATTGCAGCACCTGAAAATATCAATTCAACTGGTATTAGTGTTCTGCTTTTCACATCAGAAAAGGTAATTTACACCTAGCAGAGATTTTCCTTCTATTTTTTTAGCACATGCCTAATCTAGTGGTTTAAGATTGTGAAACTTGTATTATGTTAAAGTTGTATAGACCAATATATCAAATAAGATTTTGGAAGGATAGAGCAGGCTTTATAAAGGACCTATTGTTTTTCTCTCCCCTTGTATTGGTTTTCAGTCTTATTCACTATATCCTTCCAGTTTTCTGTGGAAATCAGGTTGATCAGCTTTAAGGTAGGTGCCGCATAACAAGTTAATTCAAGAACTTAATTAACGTTTCTAACATTCACAGCACTTTGCAGCCCAGGCTGGTTTGCCATTCTTATACATTAGGAACAAGAGTTTTACTTATGCCTGTCTTTTTATTGGCCAACTAAAAAATGATAGCAGTTAACTGCAATAATTTAAAATATAATAAAACGATATAGAATGCAGAGTTATATACAATTAAAATAATAGATATAGATACTTTAAAATTACATTAAAGTTTCAGAGGAGTGGGAAGGCCCCCAAATCTCTCTGGAATAATTCTATAGATGCTCCCCTGTTCCAGGAGGCTGTTCCATAAGCATGACCCAGTCCAAGTACAGGCCACTGCAGAATGCATTTACACAAAGGAGGCACTGTCGATAGACCCTGCCAGGAAGAATTAAGTTGTCACACAGGAACATGTAATAATAGCTGCTGTGAGGATACATTTATTTGGCTAGCCTAGTGTATGGCTAGAAAGGCACCACGGTAACAGCTATGGCGAACCTTTTAGAGACCGAGTGCCCAAACTGCGACCCAAAACCCACTTATTTATCGCAAAGTGCCAACACGCCAATTTAACTTGAATACTGAGATTTTACTTTAGAAAAAACCACTCATACATTAACTTAAGATGATCCAAACAAAGTAAGGAAAGCAATCCCAAATGCTTTCATTTACTCTTCTTACAGGGGCTACTGTAAACTCTTGGAGGATTGGCTGTATTAGGGGTGTGTCGCCTAATATGCAAAGGAATTCCTGCTACAAAAAGAGCCCTGCATTTTTTTATTTGGCAGAGAATTCGACACTTTAATGATGGTCTGGGCCTGGCTGGGGCTCTGAGTGCCTCCCTTGGCACCCGTGCCATGGGTTCACCACCACTACTCTAGAGAGTACATTTTGCTATGTATGGTATTATTTCTGAAGTCACAAAGCAGAAATTATAATGTATTAACCCCTTTTTTTGTTATCATTTTCCCTTTATTATCTGATGTTTGAGGCATTTTTGTCCCAGCCTGCCTCACTTCTGATATTAAAGCCAGTTGGTGTGAAAAATGCTTCAATCAACTGAACATAGTGAGAAAAGGTAAAGGAGGGGGATTTAACTTTTTTCTCACCTCTGTTTTGTTTTTGTTTAAAACATATAGACTATGGGGTACAGCAAATAGAGTATAGTAAATACAAAATAAATTGCTGAAAAAGTTCACAAAAATATAAAGATGTAATACATTTCAAATATCAAAGATGTAATTTAATATTTGTTTTCCAGCAGGTGCTAGCAGGTATACAGCACAGGAACAAGGACGAACACTTCTCGAGTCTATCTGCGTTCGTTTCGAGTGATCTTTCTCAATCTCCTATCAACAATAACAAATACAATATAATAGGAAACAAGAAACTCCAAAAAGTCTCACAAATGACTTAAATACAACTTAATAAAATTGTGAAATAATACATACAGTCTTCAATATTCAATGAACTTCTGCAATTCAATGCACCACAAGGGTATCCAAAACATTCTGTCAATTTAAACATAATAACAAATATTAAATATAGTTAATGTTCAATAAACAAATCAACAGTCCAAAATAAAGGTGGTCATCCTGAATACTATATATCAATAACTCACCAAAATGGCTCACACAGCTCCTACACACTGATTCTTTTACATGGACAAGTCAGTCTTACTAGTTAATTGGAAGCTTCCTCTATAAATACAAAATGCATATCCGGTTTGGGCAGCCAACTGACCAGAAGAGAAGGTAAGTATGTCATAAGTTGGCTCCTACACACTGATTCTTTTACATGGACAAGTCAGTCTTGCTAGTTAATTGGAAGCTTCCTCTTTAAATACAAAGTGCATATCCGGTTTGGGCAGCCAACTGACCAGAAGAAAAGGTAAGTATATCATAAGTTGGCAACCAGCTATTTACAAAGAGGGTAAATATGTGGAAGAGTATAGAACAAAGTATATTAAGAATAGAGAATCTCATGAAGGGTTTAAGGAACATAATAACAGGCAGGGATATAGGAGGGTGTAGATTCATTCTCCTAAAAAACATGATAAATCAAGGGCAGCATTGAGACCAGTGGGATATTCTGTTTTTAATACAAAAGTCCAGAAAGCCTCTCTTTGCAGTAATATTCTCTGCATGTCACTGTGTGTATAAGGTTTGGGTTTCACCACTTCCAAGACTACACATTTAAAGTCATTGGGTCCGTGGCCCGCTATATCAAAATGCTGGACCATAGGAGCCGTTATACATTTATGCTTCAATTTCGATCTGTGTTCCAGGATCCTAGTTCTCAATGCTCTTGAAGTTTGCCCGACATACCTGTGCGCACAAGCACATGTAATTAGGTAAATGACGGACTTCGTGGCACAAGATGAAAAATGGGTGAGTGTTTTCTTAAAATTCAGTTCCGGAAAATCCAGAACACCTGTCTCTGACATCAAAGAACAGGCCGCACAGTGACCACATTTGTGATGCCCAGGTGGTAAAGTGTCTTGCACAAGAACTTTAAAGGCGTCTGCTCTGACAAGTTTGTCCCCAATGTTCTGTGTTCTTCTAAAGCCTATATGAGGAGGTAAAGAGCACGCCCCAATATCCCCCAAAATGTGCCAATGCTTGAGAATGATTTTTTTAATAATATAAGATCTATTTGTATGTTCTACCGCCCAGAATAATCTGTTGTCATTTTTACGATCTAGTTTAGATTGGAACAGTTCCGGGCGGTCCCGCCGTTCCGCTCGGAAACGGGCACTCTGAATCACATTTAAAGGATACTTTCTATTTATAAATAGGCTACTAAGTCTATCTGCCTCCAATAGAAAGTCCTCAAACGTAGTTGAATTTCTCCTGGCCCTCAAAAACTGTCCATAAGGTAAATTATTCTTCAGATGTTGTATATGGAACGAATCAAAATGAAGTAATGAATTTTTATCAGTTTCTTTATGATAGGGGCGGACTGCCAAACTACCATTGTTAACATACACAGTGGTGTCCAAAAAATTAACTCCAGTCATACTGGCAGTATGAGAGAACTTGATGGATGGATGAACCGTATTAATCCATTGTACAAAAGATAATGTAACATCCATATTTCTGATCACAAGAAATAAATCATCAATGTACCGTTTATAAATCAAAATGTCTTTAAAGTAAATATTAGTGGTATTATTAATAATCCAATCACTTTCAAATGTGCCCATAAATAAATTAGCGACACTGGGTGCGAAGGAGCTACCCATGGCAACACCTTTGACTTGGAGGTAAAATTCATCACCAAATCTAAAATGACTTTTCTCAAAAATAATATCAATGAGATCTAGAAGGAAATGGGTGGGTGGATGTAAATGAGGTCTCCTTTCAAGTGTTCTTAACAGGCACAGCCTAGCTTCTTCGTGGGGGATGTTAGTATACAAAGCCCCCACGTCCATGGTAAGAATCACCGCCCCTTCTGGTATGTGCTTACCCTCAATATGTTGTATAAAATCCCTAGTATCCTTAATATAAGAATCTAAAGAGCTAACAAAAGGTTGGAGAAAAGAATCCAGGTACATAGATAGTGGTTCAAGCAGGGAATTCGTCCCAGAGACTATAGGTCTACCTGGCGGAGGAAACTCAGATTTATGGATCTTGGGGAGTGTATAAAAAATAGGCACTCTATAATGTTTTTTCTTCAAAAACTCTGCCGTCTGTGTAGATATATATTCGAAAAGGATCCCTTCATTAACTGTTATAGCAATGAGTCTAATTATTTCATTGGAGGGATCACATTCCATCCTCTTATAAAACTCAGTGTTGTTTAGTTGTCTTCTTACTTCAGCTATATAATCGGTCTTATCCTGAATGACAACTGCTCCTCCCTTATCTGCACCTTTAATTATGATATCCTCCCACTCCACTATTTGTTTTAAACTTTTCCACTGCTCTATGTTAAGATTGAATCTAATAGGTATTTTATTTTGTTCCATGGATAATATATCCTCCAATACCCTGCGCTCAAAAACCGTAATAGAAGCATGATAAACAGGTGGATTAAACTGGGATTTTTCTTTAAAAGGGGTAATTATCACAGACTCAGAATCTGCAAAGAACACTTTCAGTTTAATGAGTCTTATCAGCTTGAATATATCAATCCTTGTTTGAAAGGCATGGTACGTGGGAGAAAAGACAAAACCCAAGCCTAAATTAAGTACGTCATGCATATCCTTGGTTAAAGTCTTGCTAGATAAGTTAACTAATAATTTTTCTTCCTCCCTCGTTTGTAGCCCTGATAGGATGATTGCTCTCTCTTGCTTTTTGCTCTGCGTTCTAAAAAAGCCCGTCCA